AATGAATCGTAACTATCCAATTTGTCTTATCAGATGATTCCAAAACGATAATAACATGTAAATCTATATTTTATTATGTTAATGATTGAGCTAATTGTATATTCTCTTCTTGTGTTCTCACGTCGCTTTCTTCGTAGGTCGACTGTACTTTTATCGGTGTCCTACAAAGGCAAACGAGCCGTTATGATTAATTCATACTTAAACGACTATCTATCCTGTGAACTTTTTTTTCTATGTCCTTTTTCAAAACAAATGTTTTCTCCGTTCTACATAAAGTATTAAAATTGAATTTTGTAAAACATATTCGTAAACTTAAAAAGATAGTGGACCACAGACATAAACGCCCACTACGGCATGCGTATGGTAAATATTCAACATTTTGGGACAAAGGCAATAACTCTAACGGTCGAAAATACCTCAAATTTGAACTTGAGAAGAAATCGTATATATTTGAATATATTTTATATTAGATATATATTATGTATGAAAACGATATAAAAATGCGAAATGGACACACATGTTCATGTTGTTGGCCGTCCACAAGATTTCTGTCACTGCCAGATAAGCAAATTCACTGCTGAAAACTAACTCCTAACTTTCAGCTATTTATTATCTCAGGCGAAAAGTTTTACTTGTGGGCGAACGTTTGTTTGTGGAGAAAAGACTTACACGTGAGAAGTAATTTATATTTAAACGTCAGGATTTACCTTCCGAATGATTTTGCATCTTCAATTGTGTCTGGTAAATTTCTATTCATTGTTTCTGGTAACAGTAAGGCAAGGAGACCAGCAACAACAGAACATATTCCAAATACTATTAAAGGTAAGGCAAGTTCTAGTTCACCTTTTAATAACTCTCCCTGGAAATAGATAATCATTTACATATATCATTTACATTTTTTCAATTTTTCTCGCAAACTCACGGCGGAATATGGGAAATAGTTTGACAAAATTTAGATGCCAGTGGATAGAATCTTGTGTGAGACTTGTACCCAGCCACAGTAAAATCTTTAGAAATGTGTGTCTGTCCTGTAATATTTCATTTTTAGGGAATATTTAATATGTAAAAACTTGATGAATATCGACATAGCATGCACTTCACAAATTTGAATGAACATCCTCTATAACATTAA